GCCCAGCTCTGAAAGCTTGGCCCTCTCCATCACCCCGCAGCCCGCACACCCCTGACAGTCAAGTTCCTGATGGGGACTGTCCCTGGCTGTATCTGGGAAGGCAGGTACATTGGCCTTCTTGGGTTTTCCAGTCCCCCACCCACTCCTGGACTGGTCCATCAGTGAGGCAGGGACATGTTCTCTTCTCAGAAACCCAGCAGCATCTATCTTTGGGTGCTTTCTCCCCAGCCCGGAGAATCTTTATCTGGACTAGGAGTGGGCACACCTGGCCCTTCCCATCCACTGCTTTCACTCTGGTGGGGGGGGGGGAGCCCCTGAGTGTATATAGAACTGGGAACTAAAAAGCCCAGAGCCGGCCTCTTCTGTCATACTAGGACCGGGTATGAGAAGCAAGTTATAAAAGGGAAGGCAGCCTTGGTTATTAGTTCAAGAATACCCTTTGGCCACGCAGGTCGCATTTCTCGCTTTCTCTTGAGGGTGACCTGCGGTACCAAGATTTTCACCCACTCATTCCAGCAACTTTGGACCCGGGTCAACACTTCCGATAAGGCTTCCCTGAGTATGGGAGATTCTAGAAGTGCTTGAGGCTCCGGGAGCGTAAGCTCGGGCCCAGAGATGCGCTCTTCATTCTCAGACACAGGCCTCCTTGGTGTCCCCAGGGTGGTGGTCACTTGCCCCATGAGCCACGCTGGGAGACTGAGGGCACTCAGTGTGGACAGGCCAGGCAGGGGAAACCAACTTTGGGGTTTCCAGGGAGAGGTTTGGGAACAGTCAGTGTAATACAGAAATTTGGAGACTAGAATGGGGTTTACAGGAAGGTTTAGGGAGAAAAGAAGGGGCCTAGGACAGCGCGTGGAGAAACGCCATAATTTGGAGGTGCCAAAGAGGGCGGAACCAGCCCGCAGGAGTTAGCGCCGCCGCCAGGTTAGCAAGCGCAGAGGAATCAGGGTTGCCAGGGACAACGCGTTCTGGGCGGAGCTTCTGTTGGAGTGGAGCTTGAAGGCGGAGCCTGGGGAGGCGGGGAGAAGGCGGAGCCTAGGGGGTCTGAGCCAGAAACGGAGTTGTGATTGGCGGAGACGACATGATCTAGGCGGGGACTAGGTTAAGGCATAATTAATATTGGGGCGGAGTTTCAGGAGGAGCGGGGCAGTGTGGGGGCGGGCCCCAAGAGCTGGAGCCGGAGGCGGAGACGTGGTTGGCGGGGACAGAGCTCTCTGGGAGGGGTCGGAGCTGGCGGGGGCGGAGCCGAGCGGCGGGGGCGGTGCTGGGTCGCGCCGGGCCTGGGGCCGAGGCGGCGCGCGGCTCTGACAGCTGAGTCGGCTAGCGGCCTCCCGCCCCCTCGGTGCCCGGCCCTGACCCTGGCCTGGCCTGCCCCGGAGCCATGAGTCCCGGGCTGCTGCTGCTGCTCGGCAGCGCCGTTCTGGTCGCCTTCGGTCTCTGCTGCACCTTCGTGCACCGCGCTCGCAGCCGCTACGAGCACATCCCCGGGCCGCCGCGGCCCAGGTGAGCGGGAGGTGGGGGCGGGGGCCTGGATGGGGCGCTCGAATGGGGGGGCGTAAGGGGACCGCGTCCAAACCAGAATTAGCGCCGGGGGTCCAGCCTCGCCTTTGCGCGCGGCCGCTTGGAGACCGCGGCCGGGAGAGGGGCGCTAACTATTCTTAGTAACAAATTACTCACAGCCACCGCAGCTGCTCGGCGCCCACCGCGCTCTGCTGGGCCCCACAAACGTGATGGCAGCGACAACCCTGTTAGGTAGGCGCTATTGTTACCACATCGTTCAGACGAGGAGACTGAGGCGCGCAGAGGCAAAGTCACCTGCCCAAGGTCACACCGTCGGTAAGCCTAGATTTAAACCCAGGTCAGCATGGCTCTAACGTGGGTGCTCTTAACTTTGGGGACTTGGACGGGGTTACTCAACCTGGGTTGGAACACACTGTACTTTGGTCACATTCCCTTTCGTATCTCTGTCCTAGTATATCCTGTTTGTCTTCTCAGTACTTCCATTCCATCCTTGGCCCCCATCCCCGGCAACCTACCTTACCCCACCCGAAGCTTACCTTTCTGAAGCTTAAATCAAATGTGTCATTTCTCTGCTCCAAAGGCTTCCCATCACTTTAGAACTAAATCTAATTCCAAATTAAGTCCACTCCCATGGCCAGCAAAGCCCCTGCTGAGCTGTCAGAGCCTGCCTGTCCCCTTGCTTACTCACTGCTGCCCCCAGTCGGTCTGCACCTTCCTTCTCCAGCTGATTCCCTCCTCTGGGGTCTTGCTGTTCCCCATCCACCCTGTGTAAAGCCCACCTAGCCCCAAACTCCTTATGGGACCATCCCTCCTGAAGTTACCTTCTGTTCACCTGTTGACTGTCTGTTCACCTGTTGACTGTCTTCCCCTTTAGAATGTGAGCCCTGGGAGGGCAGGGATGCTGTGTTGCTTGTGTATTCCCAGCGCCTGGCACATTGCAGATGCTCAATAAATATTTGTTGAATGAATGAATAAACAATGGTATTAGACACACTTTTTAAAACCTCAGGACCTGAACATTCGGGAAGGTACCCACCTCCAGCACAAGCCAGATGCCCTGGTATTAGATACCTGAATTCCTGTTTGGTGGGTCCGGGAAAGATCTCTGTGGCTGGTGACATAGAGAGGCAGCTGTTTCTCCCTACTGGCTCTCTGTCCTCCCAGGAGCCCTCTCCCATTCTGAGGTCTTCCTGAGCCCTTTCCGCTTGCGTAGCAGCTCTGTCTTCCTCTCCACCTAGATGGTTCCTCCCCCAGCCTTGCAGGTTTGGCTTAAATGCTAACTCTTCAAGGAGGTCCTACCTGCTCCCATGCCCAAATATATTACGTTCATGTTATGAACTCAAAGTGACCCTAATGGCAATGGAATAACTTATTTGTGCAACCTCTTGTTAAATGTCTGTCTCTCCCATAGGCCTGTGTCTGTCTGTTCACTGCCGTGTCCCCAACATCTAGCACAGCAATGCCTGGTACATGCAGAGTAGACACTCGATAAACAGTGATTCAAGGTGACTGGCGGAAATCCGCAAGTTATTAGGCACACCATCACCCTTTCCAGCTTTCAAATCAGCCATCAACAGTTTGGAACTGAATGACTTTTGTGCTGGTTCTGATAGGTCTCATCATGATTTGCCTTCTTGTGAACTCAAGTGCTTCAAGCACTACAGACCCAGTCCAGTCTCTGTGTGTTGAGGAGGAAGAACTTAAGGCAAGCCCCTCTCTGCCCCTCTCCCCACATCTTTTTTAAAATTGCATTTAAAAAATAAAATTTGTATGCCCTTTGGAAGGGCAATAAATCAACTTTACCCTTTTGAAGTATACAATTCAGTGCTTTTTTAGTATAGTGACAGAGCTGTGCAACCATCACCACTAATTCCAGAACATTTTCATCACCCCCAAAAGTAACCCCATGCCTATTAGTTGTCACTCCTCATCTCCCCTCAACCCCCAGCCCTGGGCAACCACTAATCTACTTTCTGTCTCTATAGATTTGCCTATTCTAGACATTTCATAGGAATGGAACCATACAACGTGTGGCCTTTTGTGTCTGGCTTCTTAGCATTATGTTTTCAAGGATCTTCCATGGAGTAGCTATGTGTCTGCATTTCTTTTCTTTTTAGGTCTGAATTCCCTCCCAACTCTTACACCACAAAATCTACATGTGACCTGCAGGTGTGTGCGGGTGGGCAGAGGAGTGGGAGGAGGCTATATATCATTATGGCGGGGCTCTTTGTTCTAAGGAGGCGAACCGAAGGGTCCACAGGCAGATTTTGGATTAAAAATTGGTTGGTGGTCAAATCTAAAACAGCACTAAGTGCAAGCTCGGGAACCTCTCCTCGCACAAATGAGATGCTTTGGCATTCAAAGCATGGATCCCCAGACCACGGTTGGCAATGCCATGGTTGACAAGAAATCAGTGTGTTGAGTCTCCAGGAGTGTAATTTGCCCATTGTGCATCAGGGCTTCACCGGCGTGCAGGCAAGGACTCTTCTGCCCTGCAAAGAGGCAGCTGCTGTGCTCCCCCACCTGACCCTTCATCCTCCTTATTCTGCAGGAGTCACCAGGATGCCCTCTCCTCCAGGATGCCCTCCCTGAGTGTCACCCCCCCCCCCATATTCTTATTACAAACAATATCCTACTGCAATCATCCGTGTAACAGCTGGAAACTCAGACCCCACCTCAGATGCCACACAAACACTTGTAGCTTCTTTATTTCTGGCCACTGCTCTAAACTTCCTCATCAGCCCCAACTCTCCTGGTAGCGTGGGGTGAATGTAAACTTGACAATGAAAAGCCTCTCTCTCCCAGTGTTTACTTCTTTGGAAGTAAGTTTCTCAAGTTTGACTCCTGGGCAGTGCTGGTTCTCTCCTCCCACTTCTAGTTGCCAAGTTGTTGGGGGTAGGGGGTGTTCAACAGGTTCCTGGGTGGCTCCTGGTGATGGTGGAGGCCCACTGCTGGCTCTGTTGGGCGGTGCAGCCAATAGACTTCGGGTGCCCAGCTGAGTACCCACAACCCCATCCCTCTGACACAAGGCACAACCATGGCCTCTCACCCTCACTCCTAGTGTGTGGCCCACCCTTTGCCATCCAGTGGGCTCCCTTCACCCCTCTGGGTGGTCTCAGAGTGGGCTCTCCAGACGACCTCTGCTCTAGTTACTGTCCACAGCTTTCTCTGCCCACAGGAAAACTTGGATTCCCACTGTGCTCGTTGCAGTGTTACAGAGACCTACAGGTGCTGGGGACCCGCCAGGTGGGCTTCTGACTGCCCCCCTCCCAGTACCAGCATTCTACCA